TCCTTAGTTACCTTAGTGGTGATGAAGTCCTTTGTTACTATCATAGTGATGTAGTCCTTAGTTACCTTAGTGGTGATGTAGTCCTTAGTTACTTGCAAGGGGATATAATCCTTTGTTACCTTAGTGGTGATGAAGTCCTTTGTTACTATCATAGTGATGTAATCCTTAGTTACCTTAGTGATGATGTGGTCCTTAGTTACTTGCAAGGTGATGTAATCGTTAGTTACCTTAGTGGTGATGAAGTCCTTTGTTACTATCATAGTGATGTAGTCCTTAGTTACCTTAGTGGTGATGTAGTCCTTTGTTACTATCATAGTGATGTAATCCTTAGTTACCTTAGTGGTGATGTAGTCCTTTGTTACTATCATAGTGATGTAATCCCTAGTCACCTTGTGGTGAAGAAGTCCTTTGTTACTATCATAGTGATGTAATCCTTAGTTACCCCGATGGTGATGAAGACCTTTGTTACTATCATAGTGATGTTATCCTTAGTTACCTTAATGGTGATGTAGTCCTTTGTTACTATCATAGTTATGTAATCCTTAGTTACCTTAATGGTGATGTAGTCCTTTGTAACTATCATAGTTGTGTAATCCTTATTTACCTCGATGGTGATGAAGTCCTTTTTTTACTATCATAGTGATGTAATCCTTAGTTACCTTAGTGTTGATGAAGTCCTTTGTTACTATCATAGTGATGTAATCCTTAGTTACCTTGGTGGTGATGTAATCCTTAGTTACCTTGGTGGTGATGAAGTCCTTTGTTACTATCATAGTGATGTAATCCTTAGTTACCTTGGTGGTGATGTAATCCTTAGTTACCTTGGTGGTGATATAATCCTAAGTTACCTTGGTGGTGATGAAGTCCTTTGTTACTATCATAGTGATGTAATCCTTAGTAACCTTGGTGGTGACGAAGTCCTTTGTAACTATCATAGTGATGTAATCCTTAGTTACCTCGATGGTGATGAAGTCCTTTGTTACTATCATAATAATGTAATCCTTAGTTACCTCGATGGTGATGAAGTCCTTTGTTACTATCATAGTTATGTAACCCTTAGATACCTTGGTGGTGATGTAGTCCTTAGTTACCTTCGTGGTGATGTTGTCCTTTATAACTATCACAGTTGTGTAATCCTCAGTTACCTCGATGGTGATAATGTCCTTTGTTACTATCGTAGTGATGTAATCCTTAATGACCTCGATGGAGATGAAGTCCTTTGTTACTATCATAGTGATGTAATCCTTAGTTACCTTGGTGGTGATGAAGTCCTTTGTTACTATCATAGTGATGTAATCCTTAGTTACCTTGTGGTGATGAAGTCCTTTGTTACTATCATTTCGATGTAATCCTAAGTAAACTTAGTGTTGATGAAGTCCTTACTACATGTATTATAATGCTGAAGATATTTGTTATTATCATTTTGATGTAATCCTTAGTTACATTGTTGGTGATTTAGTAATTTATTGCACGGATTATCTTACTGATTATGTCATTATGTCCCTATTCCGAATGAAGTGAACATGTATAAGTACTGGTTATTTTGGTTCTGGTTCTTCTGATACGATCTTCTCCAGGCTGTAAGTTTTAAATCATTAAAGATGTCATGATGAAACGTGCAGTATAACTGCATCACCTACAGATGATGTGCAATGCAGGTTCGTTAGGTCATTGTGACCTTTACCTCAATGTCAAAGGTAAATCCGTCTGATTGTATAAAACATTTAAAGTTGTACACCATGGTGATGCCAACAGTCCCTCACGGTATCTTTTTTTGCTTGAACTTAGTATGCAAGTATATGATGGCATTGTAAACTCTATCCGAGCATCTTTTGCGACTATGGGGTCAGTTTTAAGGACCTCTGTCATGATCCCCATTAAAATTAGAACTTGTTCATATATACATTTTATAATATAGCATTAGGCAGTTCCTCTAATATTAAGGTCAAATAGGTGCCAAGTTAAAGATATCCTGATAAAACTTGCAGTATATCTACATCACCCTAAGACTATGTATAGTGCACTGTCGTTAGGTCACTGACCTTGACCTCGAGGTCAAAGGCCAAATAAGTGCAAACTTTTCAGGAATGTCTTGTCAGTGCCGTTAAAGGGGAGATATACGTCACAAAAACAAAACTCTAGTTACGATGTAATTACTATAATAGTGACGTAGCCCTTATGATTGATTACTATCATAATGATGAATTCCTTAGTTACTCTATTTGTGCTTTAGTCCTTAGTTTCTATAGTAGTGATGTGGTCGTTAGTTCCTATAGTAGTGATGTAGTGATTAGTTACTGTCTTAGTGATGTAGTGAGTAGTTGCTGTCTTAGTGATGTAGTGAGTAGTTACTGTCTTAGTGATGTAGTGAGTAGTTACTGTCTTAGGGATGTAGTGAGTAGTTACTGTCTTAGTGATGTAGTGATTATTTACTCTATAAGTTACCTAGTTTTGTTGGAACACGGCATCAATGAAACAATTGTATTACAACTCAAGTGACTGTTAAGGCCCATGTTTCTCTTGTTGTAAATGAAATTTAAAATGATACCAATGCGTTTAAATCAACCTAGTTAAATTAAATTAAATTTACATGATTAATGGGAATTGTGGTGGTCGAGGTATGTCTTAAATCTGTTTGAAAGTACAACATTCTTTCTTTATTTCAGACGTGAATTCGCCGTTTTAAATGGCGATGCCGTCCGCTTGTTACAGAGGCTGCCATCATCGTTTTCAGTCGTAAGTACTTCACTTTAATATACTATGGCGGTGCCAAAGCAAACGCATATATTCACTGACAGTTATTTCAAGGAGTTCCTTAACGAATCCAAAACATGTACAGACGTTCTCGACTCCCTGGTAAACACAGAGAGACAACGGACAGAAGTGACCCTCAATCGGCCAGGTCTCGCCCCGGACTACGTCACTCAGATGGTAGCAGTCCTAGCAAAAGCAGCACGGAGTACGAACATAGCCGGAGTTATAGACCTGCTCAGTGTCCTTGTCGGGTCCAATTTCTTCATGCAGGAACTTGTTGCGACATCATCTGCTTTCGTTAAAAGCACTGATGAGGATGAAGCGTTTAGATTCATTGAAACCTTAGTGGAATTACTGAACCATGTGTCTCTGCGACTACCAAGCTCATTTACAAACGCATTTGGTTTGATAATCATTCTACAGAAAAGGACAGAAGAGACGCTCCTGGCTGAGGGAGAACGCAGGAAATGTGTAGCCAGCTTGTCGGAGAGATTAGAAGAAATGCGAGACAATGTAATGAAGAGAATGGTGTCTCATTCTCACGACAATCCACGATTACCATTTGAGAAGCAAGCACCACCAGACGACTTTCGTAATATACCAATATTACCTAGAGTTTCTGACATATTTTTAGGATCTCGTGGTGCATTTATACGTAAAAACAAGTCACGAGGTGGCTATGACAGCCTGCACCACTACCTCGATGTCCAGTTCCGACTTTACAGAGAGGATTGTATCAGCCCACTGCGTGAGGGCATTACTCAGTACGTGCAGGAGGTCAGTGCCGGCCACAACGTCAGACGACTGCAAGACGGACGACTCTACAAAAACGTCTCCGTTGAGTATGTCGAACACAATATTGAAGGACAAATGTATAAAGTTAAACTCGATCGGGGACACGCTCAGAGAATTAAATGGAAGTCAAGTCGCAGACTCTTGTATGGCTCGCTGCTCTGTCTGTCGGCCGATAGTTTTCACACAATGGTCTTTGCAATCGTTGCAGAGTCGGATAGAGATATTCTTGCAAACGATCACAGTTTCAAAATCGCATTTCCAACAGAGGTTGGAGAGATGAGGTTACCTCTGAAAGCTACCTTCACTATGGTGGAATCAACGGCCTACTTTGAGGCATACAGGCATGTGTTGGCTGGTCTTCAGAGACTTGAGGAAGGGGAATTGCCTTTTGAAAAGTACATAGTCCACTGCATGAAAGATGTCGACCTTCCATTGTATCTTACTGTTGAAGATGCTACGTACGACTTGCACCCAATAGTCTCTGGCAAAGTCATATTCAGAAACGGTTTGCGCAGCCATACACGTTTTCGCGTTAAGTTAAACGGCCCTGTGAGTCATTGGCCGTCAGCTGAACAGCTTCAGCTCGACAAGTCTCAGTTCGAGGCCTACCATGCTGCTCTTACTCAAGAATTTGTCTTGATACAGGGACCACCGGGGACCGGCAAAACTCATGTCGGCCTCCAAATTGCCAAGACGCTTCTTCATAACAAGAATGCATGGCAAGATAGGTCCTCAAGCCAACGTTATACATTCAGAAAAACGCAATCAAAAACGAAAGATCAGATTATGGTAGTCTGCTACACGAACCATGCTTTGGATCAGTTTATGGAAGGTATCGTAAAATTTCTTGACGGTAGCAATAAGATGATGTGGTCTGACGAAATTGTGCGGGTTGGTGGAAGGTCCGAAAACGAAGCTATTCAGGAGTTCTCTTTGAAAAATCGTCGCCATCATTACCACCGCTCTCGGTATGAAAGACAAGAACAGGAGCAAAAACTGGATCAACTTTACAATTCAATTATCTGTCAGCACCAGAATATATCATTTTTAGCGTACATTTGCGCCCACCTAAATGATACAGTTCTTGATGTTGGGTTATTAGTGCCGGTTATGCAAAGGAATCATCAGCTACACTTTGAAGAGAGGAATCAACTTTCGCCGAAGAAGCTGTTTAGTTGGCTAGGGGCTGACGAAAAGTCTTGGCTCCTAAGGTCTGAAAAAGCTTACAAAAAGATATCCCAGATGAAAACAGTGTCACCGTCAACAAACACGGAAGTAGCGGTTCATACGGCCACAAATGTTGACAACATCGAGGAAAATGAAGCAAAGAAAGTAGAAGATGACAGGAGGATTGAAGATGACGATTTCAGTGTACGGTTTAAGGAGCAGATCGGTCTTGATGTCCAAAAGCAACTTATGGTCGTTCTTGGCAATATGCTATCAACACAACAACTTGATAAACAGTTTCAATCATTATTACAACATGAGGCAAACGCAACATTGGCCAAACTAAAAGCAATTGACAGGATGGATGAGAATGAAGCCAGTAATATTCCGTGTAGTTTGAAGAGGCTTGCGGTAGAGCAGCGCTGGCGACTGTATCGACATTGGGTGTATTTGTATCAACAAATGCAGAACGAGCAACTTCCCGAATTAGAGAAAAGGTATTACGAAACTATCGAGTTCTATCAAAAAGAGAAAAAAGAAGTCGATGCAGAAATATTAAAGGCCTCTACACTGATTGGTATGACAACTACTGGGGCAGCAAAATACCAGGACGTTCTAAAGGAAATCGGTCCACGGATCGTTATAGTAGAGGAGGCTGCTGAAGTATTAGAAGCCCATATTATCACCGCTCTTAGTCCCCGATGTGAACACCTCGTCCTGATAGGAGACCATAAGCAACTGGAACCGAAACCGTCAGTAATGCAGTTGGCCCTGAAATACAACCTGTCCCTGTCCATGTTTGAACGCATGTTGAACAACGGCATAAAAAATCACTGCCTGCAAAGACAACATAGGATGCGACCTGAAATATCTATACTTGTCAGGGATATTTACGATGTTCTGGACGACAACGAAAACGTTTTCGGGTACGAACATATTATGGGTGTGAGGAAAGACGTGTTTTTCATCAATCACAACAAGCCTGAGGATTATGCAGAAGACATCAGAAGCTATTCCAACATGCATGAGGCCCAATTTATCGCTAATCTGTGCAAGTATTTGATGAAGCAAGGATATGAAAGCACTCAAATCACAGTGCTGGCTGCTTACACTGGTCAAATGTTTTGTATCCGTAATTGTATGCCGAGACATGAGTTCGAAGGCGTCAAGACTGTCGCTATTGACAACTTCCAGGGAGAAGAAAATGACATCATTCTTTTGTCACTTGTCCGCAGCAATAAAGATGGAAAGATCGGATTTCTCTCCAGGGAAAATAGGATATGTGTTGCTCTATCCCGCGCTAAGAAAGGACTGTATGTAATTGGGAATTTCAATATGTTTGAATCTAGAAATTCGCGATGGGCTGATGTTGTACAAAAGGTGAAGACGGCAGGACAGTTTGGAAAAGCTCTTCCGCTTTACTGTCAAAACCATTCACAGACTGAAGGTATACAAGCGGAAGATGCTTCAGATTTTATGAAATCACCAGAAGGAGGATGCGAATTGAAGTGTGACTTCCGGTTATGTTGTGGGCACGCGTGCAGGCTTTACTGCCACCCCATAGACAGAATGCATACAACGTACGTCTGCAAGCAACTCTGTGACGAGATATGCCAAAATGAGCACATTTGCAAAAGGAAGTGCCATTTTGGCGAAAATTGTGAGTGTCCAATTACAATGAATAAAATCCTTCCCTGTGGACATAGAGCAGACATGAAATGTTGCCAACCAGCGCCGACTTTTAAATGTGATGTAAGAGTAGACCGGGAGCTTGCATGTGGACATTCCGTTCAACTCAAGTGTCATATCAACACGAAGACATACAAGTGTAAGATCCTTGTAATGCGAACCCTTGAAGCGTGTTCACATCAAGCAGATATGCAGTGCTGGGAGAATCCAGACACGCACAAATGTCGAACTGCGGTAATACGGACCCTGGAGTCTTGTGAACACGAGGCCGAGGTCCAATGCTGTTTTGATATGCTGTTATACAAATGTAAGATCAAGGTTAACCGCATTCTACCCTCATGTGGTCATGAGAACGACATGGAGTGTTACAGGGTTACTGCAGATGTTCGCTGTGATAAAACTATTACGAAAAGTCGTGACAGTTGTGAACACAACTATGACGTTCGTTGCAGTGATTGGGAACCGCTGTATGAGCGTCTACATTCATGCTTAGAGTCTGTGACAAAATCATGGGCATGTCCTCATACTAAGGTGATGAAATGTCATGAATCAAAGCACGCGACCTGCCAGGACAAATGCTTGAAAATTTGCGATCGAGGTCACACGTGCCAAAGGACATGTCACCATCCATCGAGCTGTAAATGTGATGTTGTAATGACTAAGGTTATTCAGAAATGTGGACACACTCAGAGGATTCCCTGTAACAAGGACCCTAACAGTGTTGACTGCCAGACGATGGTTCTGAAACGCTTGACTACTTGCAGTCATAAAATGATGATGGAATGTTCTGCCGATCCGTCGTCAAACCGGTACAAAGCATCCTGTGATACCCTCGTTCCGAAGACAATCCCTCTCTGTCAGCACACAAGGATAATGAAGTGTTCAGAATCTCCTTCAATGTACAGATGTAAGGAAAGCGTCGGTAAACCTCACCCGAGGTGTGAACATACTATTCAAGTAGAATGTTGCACAACTCCCTCTACTTCCACAAAATGTGAGACAATTGTCCGTAAGTCATTACCTTGNGCATATGGGAGGGAAGTGAAAAAGTTCAAAGAAATATCATGATACAAAATTATAAGAATGGGGGGTTAAAAATACGTGATATTATATCACATATGGATGTCATAAGGGTGGCATGGGTGAAACGATTAACAAACAAGGAGGAAGCAAATTGGAAAATTATACCAAAAATTATGTACGGAAATTATGGGAAAAACAAGTTAATATGGATCGATAGCAATATAATTTATGTTGAAGATGTTATTGACAAAAATGGTAGAATTAATGAAAAATACATTTATGACAAATTAGCAAACAAACAAAACTGGATGAGTGAAATGCTACAAGTTAAAATGGCTTTTCCAAAAAAATGGGCAGGAATTCTACAATCGCAAGAATCGATTAAAACCAAGGTTAATTTTATAAAGAAAACTACAACGTTTATGATAAAAAAAAACGGAGTTAATCTTAATTTAGGGAAGTTAAAAAATAAAGATGTATATAGGTTGGCTACTCAACAAAAAAAATGTGATAAACATTAACAAAGTGCGATGGATAAATTATTTGCGTTTAGATGGATCAATAGAAATCAAAAAGATGCTACAATTTGTTTTCAGTAAATTATTAGACAATAAGATAAGTATAAAGTATTCAAATGGAAATTATTTCATCATATAATACCAACTAGACAGATATTAAAAAGAATGACCATAGCTGACTCGGAGCTCTGTAACGTCTGTCAAGAGGTAGAAGATTTTGAACATTATTTTATCAACTGTAGATATCTTGACAATTATTGGAACAAAATGGATAAAGGTTTTCAAAACATAGGTATCTGTAAAAATATGAGACAGCTAATGTATTTGATATTAGGATACAACATACATAAGAAAAAAACTAACGATTGCACGAATATAATATTGTGTTTGATAGGTTTCGCGGTATTTAAGACCTACCATTTAAGCGAACAAAAAACAAAGCAAATTAGCCCGATTAACATTTTTTAACGGGAGCTAGAACATGTTTGCAGATGTACGCACGTAGGTAGCAATTTAAACAGTTACATACATTTATGAAGGATTTATGACAGATTAGTCTACATGCATATACTTTACTAATGGAACTATCAGTAAGAAAGTGTTGTCATTTTCAATCATATGGTTTATTATGGTGACTAACGCAGCGTGTATAATATGGCTCGTAGTAAGGTGTACACATGTGTACACCTTGACCGCGGGGTCACGCGTGCAGACAGTTTATATCTGAAATGTGTACATGTAAACAGCATAAATAACTTTGTTTGTTACTATTATGAAAGAAACTTTGTGTATCAATTACAATCATTATTCACTAGTGCAAGTATAATCGAACAAAACTTAACCAATTCGGAATAATATAAATCCTGTTCAACACCTGAATAGTACACATGGTTAGACACTACTATAAAACTAGAAAATAATCTGGACAAATTTTCCGGAATATATGTGTAACTCTTTTTCATGTCACATACATGTACACATACCTAAATAAAATACCTATACAATGTAAGTCATTACAAACTTTTACGTATGTATGTAAGTGGACGAGTGGAATTAGTGGGGTTCTTTCAATCTAGCCTTTAAAAGTGAATTATATACTTACGGACTTGATCAGAAATTGTTAATCGAAAACTATCATTGGATAAACAAAATGAGTCTTTACTTTTTTGTATTGTTAAAAATAATTGTAATAAAAAACAACAACAATTAACAGTAATATACCGCGTGCATGTAGGTAATGGACGTCCCCATTCTTTGTCCGGGTGCAAAGTAAAATACTTTACAGGGACATGACGCAGCCGGATACAGTTTTGGGGTGGCTGATACATGCATGCGCGGGGACAACTTACAAACTTAATATAATTATAATATATATATATATTTGTTACACCTCAAGTGAATTTCTAGCTATTTGGTTGGTTGGGAGAAAATTAAACAAAAATCTCTGTCACCCTCCGAAAATACATTGGTTTTAAGGGGCGCGGGTGATATTGCCATGAGACAGTGAAAAATATCACATGCGCAAAAAATGTGCGTGCACCGCTTCGTTTTCCCACCGTGATGGTCACAAGAACGTTTGACGGCAACAGCCAATTTCATCAAGCGCCGGTGCGATAGCGATTGTAAACAGCAGACTATCAACAAACAAGATGTCATTATCNTGTCACCCTCGGCTTCGCCTCGGGTGACAATGGTTTTCTCGGGTTGACAATATTCACTGTCACCTGCTAATGAATGTCATATTTATATAATAACACATGTATAAACATAGCTATTGAATGTAAGATGTACGAATAGTGAAATACCACCTAGGTGGACACTTTATTATTCGGGGGGCTGATCCCAGGGCTCCTCAACCCTGGCAGCCTCCAACAACCACTGAACTGAGTATTCGCAAATGAGAATATCAAAATGCTGAGGGATTAAAATTTGTATAAAAAAACAACTAGCACTAGACAGAGACGTTACGTATATCGAGTTGGATAACATACTAATGTATATGTATGACAGATATTTAATATTAATATTTGACGTACAAGTGAAAAATATATATTATTATTAAACGAAAAAAATAGAATTATATTTTTCCGTTGATTATCTGTCAGATATGGAACTTATAACTGGACATCAAAACCTCATATCACCTTTGCATTGTGACATCAATACTATTAAAACACTTTTTGTGAAATGTCCACCTTAGTTAAGACCTGACTTTTGTAAGTAATATAATTCCACTTATCTTATTAGTAAATTATAATCGATGAATCATCGTATATGGTTATACTAAATAAGTAGTGTGCAAATGAACTAGATTTGATGTAATTCTTATATTATCTGCGGAATAATTAAATCACTCAGTGTAAATATAATTATATATTATGTAATTTTCAAGGTCACATTGGATCCGCCGTGTTCCGTGGAGAAAATTGTGTACAGTGTACGTCCGGAACTCCTTTAACTTTTACCTACGTAAGTATATTTGGTCAAAAAAAAATCAATTTATCGATTTTGCCTTCATTCGGTTTAGTCGTTTTGTTTTTGTTGAGCGTGGGATAACTGGCAAGCATTTGCACAAAATTAGATTTGTTTAAATACGTTTGATTGTTTGACCATCAAAGAATAATTATTCAGTATTGATTGAAATATCGGCACTTCGAATCAATCAGAGCTGTTTCCTTTTGTTACCATCAGAAAATATTTCTGGAAAATTGGCGCGGCCAATTCGAAGTGGAACACAATCCGGACAACAATTCAAGTGGCTCCAAAACAAGTAGGCGTAGCTCTAAGCGTGGTGGAAATGTCATTGAAAGAGGTGGGCGTGATTCCGAAATGGGTTGGCGTGGCTCAGGTAGAGGTGGGCGTGACTCCGAAATGGGTTTGCGTGGCTTAGGTAGAGGTGGGCGTGACTCCGAAATGGGTTTGCGTGGCTTAGGTAGAGGTGGGCGTGACTCCGAAATGGGTTGGCGTGGCTCAGGTACAGGTTGGCGTGGATCCGAAAATAGTATGCATGGCACCACAAGAGGTCAAGTCTATGAGAATCAAGACGACAGATTACTTCCATCTGGACCAACATATATGGCGTCTCCACACCAGCAAAAGTTTGAACAAAGAGGGAGGGGAAGGGGCAGGGCAGGGCGAGGACAGGAAAGAGGTGGGTTTTGGGGGCAAAGAGGTGGAAGAGGGGGCAGCAGAGCAAAAGGAGGGTTCGGAGGGGGTGGATTCGGCAGAGGTAGTGCAGCAGGTAGTAGAGAGGGTGATGTATGGGATGAAAGAGTGAGTGTAAGTGATGTTGGTGGTGAGAGAATTGTTGGATTTGGAAAAGAAGAGAGAGGAAAAGGAAGAAGTGGCGATGGAATGGTCAACAGAAGGGTTGGATTTAGAGACGCTGAAGCAGCAACCGTAGTCTCAGCAGCGAGTTTGAGAGGAGTAAATACAAGAGGAAGAGGAGGAAGAGAGGGAGAAGTTCGCGGAAGAGGTAGAGGAGATCGCGGAAGAGGAAGTAAAGGCAGAAGAAAAGGACGTAGACAGTGAACATCTACATCCATCGGCTATTGTTTTATTTCATTTTGAAAATATTCCATGTGTCAAATCAATTGGAGCAGACTGTAGGTAGAGTCTACCAGTTAATACTGTAGAGCTTTGAGCATAGAAGATCGATTTGTACATGTATTGATAAAACTTGTTCCATTATTGATGTAAAACCCTAATGTTATAAGTTTAAATTTGTTTCTATTTCTAGCAATGAATTGTCGATACAAATGCACACCGATTTGGTTTCGTACAAGACAAGAATTTCAAATGCACCTTAGCTTCAGGTTAGCGTAGATGTATAAAGTAATAGCGAACGTTCTCAGAAACATCAATGTATTATTTCAAAAGTGTTTATGTATAACGTAAAGTAAGCTAAAAGCTGTGTAAAAAGAATGGTGAGAAAATGCATCGAGTGTCATTACTTGTACATAAGTAAGATTCGTTGTATATTTTGTGACTTTCTGAACTTCAGATTTCTGTGAATTATCGTGATTAATGAATATTGTATGTGTTAGACGCCTGTTAGATTTTTTCATGTTTCCAAGTCATACAGATTTAGCAAGATTGTTTATTGCGTTGTGCAAGTGTTATATGATATAATCTGAAATATAGCTTTTATATTTTATCTTTAAACGTGGGTTTTTTCAGCGGAGTTGAGCATAGCGACTCTTATATTTTTTTCATATCAATTCTGGATATGTAATCATCGTCATATATTGATTTCATCATGTAAGTAGTTATTATGATTGATGAAAAATAACGGGCAGAGAATAATGCTCTCACTTTCCTGTAAATATAACATAATATAATTAATCTCATTTTGAGAGAGGATAAAATTTTATAAACCATGTGTTAGTTAAGTTGCCGTGTTTGATTGGTATATAAATGTCCTTATTAGCTGTTATAATATTACATTATTGTACCTTTTATAGAATTTAAAGTCATTGACAATTTGTTCTGCAAACTTTCGAAAAGAGTACTCCGTTCTTGACAAAGGAAACAGACGTTTTCGAATCAAGCAAAGAAAGTTTTCGTATTTGATATTGCGAGCCTTGTATGTTACCCTGGTACCATTTTAGTATACCAAAGGTACAGTTAGCTTAATTGAGATATCAGTCTTATTTATTGCTACCAATTTGCGGTTGTTGTTTTTTTTATTTTACAAAAGGAAGTTACTTGCTTCTATGTTGTCTATTTTTCCGATGTGCTCTAATAATATTTCACCGGGTGTGTTTCTAAATTTTGTTATTTTTATATGCTGTTATTTCAAAAAGCACTTTGTTGAAACTTAGCTTTTCCCATGTTGGTGGGCTTATGTGATTCAGAGTACACTTGAAGTTTTCTGTACAGTGTTAAAGTCAGACCACACAGATCTGTCTGGTTGACAAACTATATAGATTACAGCCAAGTAAATATCCAGAAAGGGGGAACATGTGGATCAATTTTACCCGTATTTATCTAGTCAAAGACATGTTTGGTGGCATTCTGTTATTTTTATCATCTTACGTTAGTGCTTTCTTTTTTCATAAACATTGTTTTTGTTGTTGTCTTCTCTTTGTTGATTGTGTATTGATTTGGTTTTTATTTTTTTGTTGGGGTTTTTTTTTGGGGGGGGGGGACTATTGTATTCAATGTTGTTTATATATCTGTATCGGTTTTATAGTTGTTCCATTTCAACAACTATGTGTATCACCTCATCACTAATCCCTTGTGTTTAACTATAGAACCAAAGAGTTCAGTCTTCATAAGCCTAACTATACAAACGAACAAATAATAAAAAAAATTCTATATAATGGGAATTGCTGCCTAATATAGGTCCATGGTCTCGTTGCTTTTCGTCCAACGATATCGCGTAAATTTCACAATTTAGAATTTCAAGAATTCTGGAAAAATATCATAGATCCCTCCTATCACATTCAACAGGTCGTTCAGCTAAGAGGATCATCGACACCTGGGTTCAGGACCGCATATTAATCAATACACATTAATGATTAAGTGGATATAACTTTCCACAGACTTTCATCGTCTATATAAATATTACCCACAAAGGTCAACACGATAGGTCATTCTGGTCTGACAAAGACACTGTTATATTGCTATTCATTATCAAATATACACGCATGTATTTGTTGGGAACGCCATTCATGGTAAACTATGCACGTACTTGTATCACAGACATATATATGCGAGTATCATTATTCGCAGTGAAATGTACAAATATTTGTCTTACGCTTTTGTGTATACCTGTGTGTGTATCCTGTCAGTAGGAACTTCNCATTGTAAACTATACACGTACTTGTATCACAGACATATATATATGCGAGTATCATTATTCGCAGTGAAATGTACAAATATTTGTCTTACGCTTTTGTGTATACCTGTGTGTGTATCCTGTCAGTAGGAACTTCAGTCGAGTTACAGTGTTTTTGTTTTCATTGTAAAGTATTTTTTACAGCTTTAAAAAGTATATAACTATTCTGCATAGCCGACATGTTTTGGTTATAGTGAATACATTGTTTTGTGTTTTCCTGGTGACAAAGTTATATATTACAGTAAACATATTACGACATTTAGTCACTGTGAGTACTTGGATTACTGTATACCGGGGTGGGTTACTGTATACCGGGGTGGATTACTGTATACCGGGATGGATTACTGTATACCGGGGTGGATTACTGTATACCGGGGTGGATTACTGTATACCGGGGTATTTTCGCCTTTTCGCCCTCCGCAATGAGTGCGAATTAAACACTAAAGCGAACAGTAGTAAACGATATAATTAACAGTAACCAAACGAGAAGGGCAAACATGGATTTAATTGGCGTAGGGCGAAAAATTGACTGGACAACAGATTCTCGGTATACAGTATTATATGTCTCCCTGGAATAAAAGGGAGACATGTGGTATTAGTTATTGAAGTATACTGCATCAATCACACAATGCTTGCAATGTAACGTAACTACATCAATCTAACCTTCCTTCTAGGTCAAAGGTCAAATGAGAGCAAAGTTTCAGTGAAATATGCGAGCTGATTTTTTAAACGTTGGAATAATTAAGTTTACCTGCATCAACCTCAAGAGTGCATTGCAATAGGCCCCCGTGACCTTCGCCTCTATAGGTCAAAAGCGAAGTGATTACAAAGCAAATGTTGGCGTAAATTGGGAGGTATCATTTTTATCTAATCGAATATCTAGTTATTTCTTACATTTTGATAATGAGAAATAACCGTACGCAGTCAGACAAAACCTCATAATGTTAATTTTTTATTATGACGTCATATCTTAAAATATGTATATTTAACTTTGTATCATTCACAGCGTGCGTGTGTTAGTGGGATTACCCTTGTTTTTAATTGAGATATCAATATGTAAATGAAATGTTAACTAGTTTGCACTTGAATACCAATGTTACCCCAAACATTTATATATTATTTTATATAGTAATGGACTTTAGCATTCCATGATGAAAAGGAAACCTAAAGATAAGTTACAATCGGATGAAAACAAACCATCAATACGTAGATTAAGTGTACATTGGATGTGAACATATTAATACATAGAGTATTCATCGGATGTAAACATATCCACAGTTTAGATTAAACTCTATATTGATCGTGTAAAAAAGCACAATTCACAGACTTCAGATTTATGGTAGTTTTTCCGCCTATGTAAAGACAAATGGCAAACCTATTTATTTATTTTGAAAATGGTGAGTCAGTTACTCCATAAAAGCAAAGTGCTATCGTATTTTTTTTAGATATATATTTCATGTTTCAGTGCCTTTTTCACATCGCTAAGTAAATACCTGGCAGTTATTGTTGAAATGATTTGAAGCTAACTTTTGTTAGGTTTGAAGGAAAATAAGTTTAGTTTAAACATATTTTATTGCCAAGCAAATGGATTGGGCACAAGTATAGTAATTGAAAATAAGTAATTGAAACTATTTTTTTAATTACCATTGGGGTAACGAAAGACTATTTGTGACAACCATCAAACCCTAGCCTTTATCTTGACAAAGCGTCCTTTTTCGTGGACAAAAGTGATTTTTTTCGCAGTCCCTTATGTTTACTATAGCAGCCATGGTACACAGTGGTGAGGTGAGGATGGGTTAAATTCCTAGAAAATTAGAACTCCGCACAACAGAAAACCTTTACATTAGATGTGTTAAACAGTCTTTATTCTTATGTTATTTTTCGTCCGGTATATATAGAGTTGATACAACGAAGAAAATGATTGAAACCAATAAATATTTTTGCCAACTTTTTCCTTGTTTCTCGTCTGTCACTCGGCGATCGAATTCCAAATCTTGAAACATGCAGCAGATACCACCATTAGAGTAACAGGCACCAACAGTCGAACCATGTTATTATCATTGTCACTATAGTGAGATATTTGTCACGTAAACAAATAGCTCGCAAAAAAGGCACCACCAGTCGAACGATGTTATTATTATTGTCCACTATAGTGAGATATTTGTCACGTAAACAAATAGCTCGCAAAAAGGCACATGTTCCGATGTATTTTAAAGAAATATTATCGCTCGAAATTTGGATGCTTGAATAAAAAAAGCATGTAGTAGAAAACAGGAAAACTGCAGAAGTCGAACTCCGGGTACGTGTACTTTGTTACGCCTACACTTATTAACCAGTGTTGCCAGCGAGGAATTAAGCAAGCAAATTTAAACAAAAAATTTGTGTCGAATGTCTTGACAGGGGAAATAACTCTAAGCCGAAAAAGCTCTCTGTTACTAGAAAGCTTTGAGTGGAACTTTACGAAGGACGACAAGAGCCTGACAAAAAAATGTGAATGTTCATATCTTTATGTGCCATGGTACACTTTTACATGGTACAGAAATATTTGAATTTTCACATCTTTTTGTACCATGGTACAGAAATATTTGAATTTTCATATCTTTGTGTACCATGGTACAAAAAAATATTTGAATTTTCATATCTTTTTGTACCATGGTACAGAAATATTTGAATTTTCATATCTTTTTGTACCATGGTACAGAAATATTTGAATTTTCATATCTTTTTGTACCATGGTACAGAAATATTTGAATTTTCATATCTTTTTGTACCATGGTACAGAAATATTTGAATTTTCATATCTTTTTGTACCATGGTACAGAAATATTTGAATTTTCATATCTTTTTGTACCATGGTACAGAAATATTTGAATTTTCATATCTTTTTGTACCATGGTACAGAAATATTTGAATTTTCATATCTTTTTGTACCATGGTACAGAAATATTTGAATTTTCATATCTTTTTGTACCATGGTACAGAAATATTTGAATTTTCATATCTTTGTGTACCATGGTACAAAAAAATATTTGAATTTTCATATCTTTTTGTACCACGGTATACTTTTATATGGTACACAAACATATGAAAATTCAAATTTTTATGTACCATGGTACACAAAGATATGAAAATTCAAATCATTTCGTACCCTGCGTGGTACATAAATATTACAAACAACTTTACAAAAAAACCTCTTTACTTTCACTTGTATATGTACCAACAGCCGATATCAGCCGGCAAAATACTTTTGCCCGGTAGAAACAGATATGAAAGCTTCTCTCCTTTTTGTACCGCGTTACACTTTTTTCATTTCTTTTTGTACCACCTACGGTACAAATAGATATGAAAATAAGGTGTACCACCAGAGCATCGGATTGTTGTTATCGGACACTATGACCAGAACTGACCCTGAATAGTAAAGCCCTAATTACAACGTCAAAACAAGTCGTGAATGTCATTAATCACTTCTGATGAAAAACAGAGTTAGTTGCAATTGTGTAAGTATTGGGGCCTTGACAGGGTCTCCAAAAGGGATAAAGGACATCTGTATATTTTCGTCATTTCCTTTGTTTTGATAGATGTGCAGATTATAAAAGAATCGTACAACTAGCTCAACGTATTTCCCATTTATTTATTTTTATAAATTTTAGCCTATTTATCCTTCGAAGTAATTAAAGTGATTGTCCCCTTTCGTCCCCTTGTCCCCTACGGACCACGTTGGCGTTTCTTTCATTTGAGAAGTTGAAGCAGATAGAATAACTAGAAATGTATTAGAAACATAATCCATAATGACTTCCTTTTTAACGTAAAACTTTTATAAAATTCAGTAAAGGATATCGAATAGTTGATTTCAATTTAAATAAGTAAGTGACAGTTTGGTAGCTCATTTGGTGTAATCAAAATAACAGACATTCCGTGCGATAATATTTCATTGTATGTGATGACAGCCTTATCAGGGTGTAATTTGTCATACTTGGTAACCTTTATGTCTGATGGTTTCACATGTTTCTGTACCATGGCTGTTTTCGGCCGTATTTTGGTACAGAAAGGTACAAAAGCAACGGGTTGATTTTATTTCTGCTTTCCTATCTTTGTGTACCATGGTACACTTTTACATGGTACAAAAAGATTTGAATTTTAATATCTTTGTGTACCATATAAAAGTGTACCATGGTACAAAAAGATATGAAAATTCATATTTTTTTGTCAGGCTCTTTTCGGCCATCGTAAAACTCTTCCTCGCTAGTAGATAGACTTTATCTCGACGCCTTGTGTGGTTGTCAACGTAAAGAACACCGATATTGTAGTATGTTGATATGCTAGTGATCATGATTCTCCAGAAAACCGCTCCTATAGTTGTGTTTCACAATGGAACTCTGGAGAATCGTAACCCGTACTTAATTTCACTATCAAAGCACATACACCTCCCATATGCCATTATAAATGACAAACAAAACGTCTCACAGTCATAAGATTATTAAACAGAATTATCTCTGGTTAACATTGTTACTATTGTTACAGTTACCGACTTCTCTGTCAGACTAAAATGTCGAGGACTGATTTTAAATACAGATTTGTTTATTTATAATACCACGTACAGCAGATGACGTGGCATATGTTTTAGTACACAGCAATGATGTATATATCTAAATCGAAAGTAGATTCATCCAAAATCGAAAGTTGATAACAAGCTGCTATCTGTTTGGTTATGTGTTTACGTGAACAAATATAAAGGGTATTTCAAGTATACACTGCACACAGTGGAACTATCGGTGGCACCGTAGATATACTGACCTACATGTGTATTTTCGCTCACTGTAAACAATCATGATATTGTCGGTAGAAAAGCAGTTTATTTAAAGCACCCTGTCATATTATCGTATTTTATTGTTCAGCGTGTGAAAATTAAATGTGAATTTAACAATAAGGACAAGACATTGTAGGTATTTAATCAAAAGAATAATGTCACACATTGTTATGATATGAAAGCGAAAATTGAAAACCGTTTACAAACCTAATCTGTTTTCCAGACATGTTTACTAAAATAAAGCCAAAAACATGTAATCAATTTTTTAATAATTCATTTATAGTATATGTCATTTTAAACCAATAACTCATAACCTTTTGAGATGAGTTAGGTCTTCTCTTACGTAGCAAATAAAAAACATCTGTATTGAATGTTTACACAACAGGTACATATGTATGTAGACGGGTTAATTGGCTAAACGCCAGATTCCTACAACACAATCTGTGCGTTTTATGGAATAGTTTCTCGAGCCGAAACGAAACAAAGTTTTGGTAATGACATGTACAACCTATGCACATTTTGCGTGACTTGTTTACTTGTAGTTTCATGAAAGTTCGGGGTTTTTTAGGTGGTTTTTTTTTGTGGTTTTACGTCCTCACAACAGCCAGGGTCATATGAGGGCGGATGCCTAGGGAGACACCGTCGGGAAAGAGAAAGGAGACAGAACAGATAAGAAATGTGTCCCCTTAAACAGAAGACAAGGAAGAAAACCACCCCCGATTCTGCAGGAGACAGGGCACATAAGTCGCCTCTTACGATCATACAGCGGGCCTATTCTATCCCAGAACCTGCACGGGTAATGTAAGGAAATATCACAGGAAAGAGTTGGTAAAAGACCTAACCTTCATTAGTGGAGGCAAAACAAAAAGACAAATAACAGTAACTTTGCAAAAATCGGACAGCTATATCTTCAATAAGATTCATCAGTTTGGAAATATGTAATATCAAATTTTTACTTTCTACACAATCAATGTACGTATTAAACGGGTCGCAACATTTCAAGACCGACTGGTCCCTTTGTCAAGCTATAACTGGACAGACTTTATCGTAACGATCTACCACTTAAGAAGTCAGAAAGGCCTAGCAATAGATATCGGATACTTATTATCTTATTCTATAGTTTCCTTCACAAGAATATGTTTATTTATTATTTATTACATAAAATCCAATATTCCATAAATAATGTTAAGCAGTTAAATGACTTACTGACTTACTAAAATGATTTGTGTCCTTTTAGTTTGTAGATGACCAGTAGATATACAAAGAAATCTTCCAACTATTAAAACGACTTTTAATTATTAGATATTTACAAAAGCAATTATTTACCCACAAGTAATGTAAAGAACAATCGTATTCACACAGATTCCAAAAAAAATCATGTCTGCCATCCTATTGTTGTGAAGGTCAATTTCTGTAGCCATTGTTCACACAGATACACCGATTGTTCACCTTTGCTCAGTCTATTTGCAAGTTAAATTTATATATATATATATATATATATATAATATCAATAATAAATCATAAGTATATAAGTGTGGTTCTGATAAACTTGCTGTCGAGTCTATAAAATGACACAGTCTTTTTTCTTGGCAAGCCTTTCCTGTCGACGTTTCTCAGCCTCCATTTCGTCAGCGAAATATTTGATGGGTTCCAGATAGTTTTCCCGAAGCCATTCCATCTTGAAAAACATGACCTTGTTAACACTGCGGTTTTGTCCGGCAATCATGATACTGCTACTAACCATTACGCGGCTCCGGACAGCACTGATCTTGTAGAAGGAGTTTGAGAACTCTCCGCACATGTCGTCGTCCGCGAATATACACTTGTTGAGCAGGACGTCCGGAGAGAGGAGCGCACAGAGCAAGATCAGCTGGCTAGTCTCCTCGGACGACAGACGGCTGTAGTTGCTGTAATCACACAAGCGTCTCAGGTTAGCCGAGTCGGAGTCGTCCATGTCCAGCACGGTTGTAACGGAGCTCAGATAGTACATCAGTTTTGCCCTGTGGTTGTTGGGCACTGTCGCCTTCGAAGAGATATCTTCCACTTCCAACCGAGTCCTCCCAGCAATTGCAGCCATGACTATTACACAAAGATCAACACTATAATTCGGTTATCCAGTAGGCAATGATCTACCCGGCCAGGCTTACATATTTATAGGCTCTCCAAAATCACGTGATCGATTTTCTTGGAACTGCAGGGCAAAGTACTTTTTCAAATTACCTTTTTTTTCACCAGATGTTCACATGATTTGAATGCTTCTAAGCGTCATGCTCACAAATGCAGCAGTGCAATGTTTTGCTGTCCTGTATATTTGTGTATTGTGAACAGGTACTTTGTATATATTATCAATGCATTACTGAGCATAGTTCAGGATACCTATAAGGTAATCAAGCATATGTTATTATACCTGTCAATAAAAGTTTAAAAAAATACAAACAATGCGAAATTGGAAAACAGGCTTACATAATCACATAAAAACGCTGACAAATTCTTATACTGCAATGCTAACTTGGTCGGTTTGTCAGTTATAAATGCATTAGCTTCTTCCTTTAAATCATAAGGAGTATAAAACACAACTGACACACTGACATGTTTTTAATCCGGGAAACAGATAACATAGTATATGCAGTTCAGACCACGGATCTAATTCTGTGGCTCAGGCGAGTTCACTTCAGCGTATATCGTTCCGGTTACAGCTAGTAGCTATCCCGTTTCACCGACGACACATGGCCACTGTCTCGCGCCATTTAACAACCTGCAAAGCTCAATAGCTAGAGCAAATTCTCGAAATAAACGGTCCCCTACTAAATGTGTGTGAATATTTAAAAAGTATATTTCTGCTGTGAGGGGTTTTGTTTTCGTTTGTGAAGATGCATTTTCTTTTCAAAATCATTACTATGTCAGCGGTGAAATAACATGTATCTTCTTACAGGAAACATCCGCATTGTTGTTTAGCTCTACCGGGAAACATGCAAATGTGATATGCTGTAACTTAAGCACATCACGTATTAACTATTTGCATGCTACATGGTACCGACACCTATGTCCTGTATTATGTATGTAACAGTGAAAGAATCAAGCATAACGAGCACCTGTGTTAGTATAAAGCAGGTGTGGATTTGCGTGGGTTTACACGGAAACCTCTCGGGGAAAACCAAGCCGTGTAGTCTAGAAGTCTACATGACATATATACAGAACAGAAAATCCTCAAAAGTTCGTATATAAGTTAGACTGAAATATAACTACTGGAGGAAGGAAAACTCCGGACGTGAATTAAGTGTGTATCATGTAACTTTATTATATATAGTTTAGTGGTCGGACGATCAGTATTGTCATACTGTAGCTAAATAGCGAGATATGAAGCTTGAAGAAAATGCTGTGAATGCCGATAGTCTGGTGACATTTCTCCATCAATTTTAACAAATATGTTGTCGACCAACCAAACACTTTAATCCTATGTCATTGTATGTCTAACTAAATAAGTTTTGGGTCAATTTTCGAAGAGATAAAATATATAAAAATATTTCAACTCCAAAGCAAGTTCAGCATGGTCGCGGTAGTGTGGAAAAGTTTTAATTTTTTTCTGACATTGACAGTGATTCAATGTTCTTCATGATCTTTTGAGGATACTTCAAAATCTGCATTTAATGCAGCTTCGTGAATAAGCAATATTACATAACATAATGTATATTTGAACTCATCATTTATTGCAAATAAGAATGCAGAAAATGGTTCTGTTGAACAAGCAGATGATCCAATTTCAAAACTTGTGCTTAAGGAATTTTGAGTAATCAACAGTACTGTTCTTCACGAATGTTGTTCACGAAGGAAAGATCAAATTAAAGTTAGTTGATTTTTCAGCTGGTACGCCTAAATATGCTTGGTGTGGAGGTTTGATAAATACTGTTAGACAATAGGGTGAAAATCGTACTTCAGCTAAGTGTTGAAATCTCTATTCCATGGAATTGACTCATTTTCAGAAACGGTATCCGACTTTACTTACTGTTAATTTTCTGGCAAAGTTCTCCGAATACAGAAGGATTTCGAAATTTAGCTCCCAGAAGAAGTGATGATCTACCTCAAACTGTTGAAATTTAATTGGCAATAGCGATACAATCACATCAGTTGTTGTTTCTGGTGATAGCACAACAGAACAAATTATGTTACAAAGCCACAATGGCATTGCAGTTTGTGTGCAGAACTGTCGACAGACGGTCAGCTTGATATATTTTATGAAATTATTAAATATTTCACACATTCAAGGAAACGTCGGTGACTGAGCTGAGAAAGGGCACAAATGACATTTATTGAAAATGCGCAAATAAAAAAGTGTTCCAAATAATAGGAAGCTGTATAATCGGCTGTGTCTGTTTAGATTCAGATAGGTACTTAAATTGAATAGCTCTTCCCCTGAAATATATATAAAACTTGGCCATGTTCAAGATTATCACTAATTCAATCGACTGCAGTATTTGCAGTAACTTTTCTCAAGTTCTCTTGTTCTTTTAGAGGAGGGGTCAATACCCTTTGATCGTACTAAATACAATTAACATTTTTATTACACTGATCAATATTTCGGGACTGATAAATAGCTCCTACATCTGTTCTTGTTTTTGTTTATATCATAAAAATGTATTGGTATTTAATTTGTGCATATTAGAGTACTTAAACTCGTACGAAAACGTGTCAACTAACCGATTACTTTAAGGTGTTCAGTTTGAGCTCATGGGCATAGGCGGATGGTGAAGCTGTTTAAAGGACGTGTTCCACGCTCCCGTATACGTGCTGTATGTAACTGTGACAGCCTATTCGCATCTAAGGAGCTGACCGACCTTAGGGCGTGATCTGGTCGGCCAAGGTCATTTTGAATCACCGAGGGCCCGGTAAGCTGGAGACTTACCCCCTCAAGACGACAGAACACGGGCTCCGCCCGTGAAAAGGAGTCTATAAACCCATCAACCAACCAACCAACCAACCAAAGAGCTCATGGGCACACACGGTACTTGGAAGACAAGTCACTCAATATAGTCTGATTGATGCATTTGATCATATTACAGGTCGTGTAAAAGCAGACTTAGGACCTTTTTGAAGTCACTGTATGTTGAATGGAATGGCTCTGTGGTGATTGTGACTCGATGGCACTGGAACATGTATACTAGAGTACAAAACCCTGATATGCTAAAACACAAGCTAAACAATCGGTAGTGCAATACAAGGGAAGTAACTCGAAATGAAAAATGGACTTGCAGGCTCTGCGACGAGGACTCAGTTCTACATGAGAGCCCATTTTTTATATATATATATACTTTCAATTTACCGCACAGAATATTTATTTATTTTCAAAACCTACGATGTTCTGAACATAACCAATCTTCTTTCAAATCATCAATAATTGCACATCCTATATGTTTCCATGTTTTACAATGAATCCTACCTGTACTCCAATCACAACCAATCATCTCATCCATCCAATCTGGTAACCCACATGAACAGCTTCAATTGATAGTTATATTATGGTTATTTGCCTATTTGCCTTTTTTTATTTGTGATGCTATTTTAACAAATTGTGGAAACGGTCTAAAGTGCCCCTTTTCTAAACACCAAATCAAATGGCCCCGCATTTGGTTTTCAATGAAGTTAGTTTTTTGCTTGAATGAATTTCCGTAAAAAACAAAATTCTACCATATTTGCTATTGCAAAATGTCCACAGTCGTAACCATTATTTTGTTCCTGTACATCCAAAATTTTGATCGGAATACCACCTTTATCATGGCCAAAAATGCTACACAGCTGAAGTTCGATCGAGGGAGTATTTACTGTATGATTTTCTTTAGATGCTAAACTGTCTAGAACAGATATTTCACCATTGCTTGTTTGGAAACTAGTAACCCAGTGATCTCTTCAATTATGGAGAACTTGGACAGAAGGTGAATTAACAGATTGAAAAGGTATTTGGTTTTTCCATTTGGATTTATTTAAATCATATACGGGAGCTAAGTTCGTCAACTGAAAACCAGTTTTTCGGTAGTAAAATCAGTCTGGATTAGCCCCTGCTTTGTGTTATTATTGTCCATTTTTATTGCATATGCTTGCATATAAATTGCTCTGCCATTTTTAGTGCTTGATTACTTTTAGTGTGTTTTTAGGCTAGGAGAGATATTGCATTTTTTAGGTAAACGTCAAACAAATTGCAATAAAAAAGTTCACTGCAATGCAATTCAGTGAGGTCCCCTAAATGGCTACCGAAAAGTCCGAAAAAATCCAAGTAGTGGAAGTGTGCCAAATTTGCATAAATCCAATATGGCCGCTATTTCGAGGATTTTCACCGAGATCGAGTTGCATTCCTTATCATGGGTAGATGCTGAGGCACTTAAAAGCACAAATTTCACATTTATATGAATGTACTATGTTTTATATATCATATACAGAGGCATATCTTGTTTAATTGTGCATCGCAGTATTCATAAATCCAAAACGGCCCCCGATATATTAAGATTTACACATAGGTTTTGTCATATTTTTCAACTTGTAGAGCTGTTGTGGCGCTAATAGAGTTTGAAAAGTGATCTGCTGTACATTTTTTATCAACTAAAATACCCATATACTACATGTACATCACACACCCAAAACAAACCCCTCCGCACACGTGTTATGTATGTTCTATTAATCATCTTTGCAGATGACGATGTTATTTCATTATGCATGCACTAGACAAATATATTTTAATACGCAACACAAATATCATGTCATTTTATATTTA